CAAGTATTGAGCTGATGTAAAGTACACTTTTCATTTGTAATAAGTTTGTTTATTCCTAACAGGAAAAAATATATATATACGTATATACAGTATGTATGTATGTATATATATGCTGTAACAATGCTTCTTGTGCTAATTTTAGTTGCGTTTTTAAAGATACATCTGTCAGCTGGAAATATCAAGGTGTGTCTTTCAGTGTTAAGGTTTTAAAATCCTAATGTTTGCCAAAAGGGCGGCTGTGGTGGAGTGGTTAGGGGAGTCGTCCCGTGACTGGTAGTTTGCCACCATCGGTGTGTGAATGGGTGAGTGACTGGAAGTGTAAAGTGCTTTAGAGGGACTTGATAAAGCGCTATATAAGTTCACTCTAAAAAAAATTGTTGTTTTATTACAGCAACTAAATTCTTAGTCAGATTTTTAATACTTTGCTTAAAAGGACTGAGTAAAGATTGTCCCTGAGTTCTTTCAAAGTACAAAAACTACGGTGCCCTTGGGCAGGAGGGTCAGAGGTCACTATTTTTAATATTTTGCTTTGTGTTTAAGAGACTCAAATCATTTAACTTATTGCCACTCATAAACTTTTTATTGAGAAAAACTTAAAACTATTTTTTATAGAACAACCAAGTTTAGTGGAATCAGTACACAGTTAGATAAATCTGAGATTTTGTGTCTCAGGGTGTAGCGGTCATGTTTCCTGTGCAGCTTGGGTTACCTACTGGCAAGTATGTATTTATTTTTCAGCTGGAACAACCTTTTGTAACGTGAATCCAATGACAGTGTAAATGTTTATGAAGCAGCCTTTGTATTGACCTCTATGAAATATCTGAGGCTGCTGTTTTAAGACAGCAACAATCCACTTTAGTCGTGAACCTGTTCGAACCTGCTGCTGTCTAGTCCAAATGAAACACATTTGTTCAAAATGAGCTCATCACAAGAGCTATCTACAACAGGTGAGATATTTATTGTTCATAAAGTTACCGCAGAACCCCATTCCAAAACGTCAAATGATCTTTTTAACTCTGATGCCTCTAATGAAGGGGTTCAAACTTTTTTTTTGCCATGAAAACCTTTAACAGCTGCTAAAGTGGCACTGTAGATATGCAAATCACCCCAGTTTTACTTTCCTGTCACTAACTATACGTTGCATGGAAAATGTGTTTCATCACTCTGGCTGAAAAGTAAAGCCCCTCATCTGTCCRCATTAATAATGTGTTCCTGACTGACACGATGAGCTCACTCTACCGTGGCACATTACAACACTTCTAGGCCGACTTGTTGCCTTCCCACGTCCCTTTGTAGTTTTCACATCATGGCTACTCGATCAAACAGCACGCCACTCAAATTACCTTCTGGCCTGGAAGCATCAGCTTAATTATTCAGCATCTTAATTTGTTTTAATGTACATTTTGTGTCAGATTTCAGCGTTGGTGTTAAGAGTTTTCATGTGGTTTTATGTGAGAGACAACTTGTTTGAAGTTATAAAATAAAAGCCTTGGAGATGAAGGATTTTGGAGCGAGTGTCCACGTTTTCCCAGGGTCACAGAAGGTGCCTCAAAGATGGTTATCTTGGCTGCAGCTGTGGCAGGTATTGAAGTGGGCCTCTAATGAGTTTTATTATTAAGCCTGAGCCCAGGATCATCAGCTCACTCAGATTTTAGATTAAACACGTTTTATGAAAATAATGAATGACAAAAGTAAATTTAAGCCTTCAATTTCTTTAAATTGCACTGTAATTTCTGTAAATCATCTTTGAACCCTCTATTGATGTTGGCGACCCACAGCGGGGCCACGACCCAGACACTGGAAACCACTGATCAAAGTTACGCATAGATTCTCCTACTTTAAAATTATTATTTGAAAAGTGCATCTGAAATTCAAATGAGCAAATATCTCAAGTTCAGGCTAAAAGATTTCACAGCAGCCACCTAAACAACAACTCAAACTGTCCCCTTCAAATTAAAAGCCCCAAAATAAAAAAGTTTCTCTAATAATATTTGATCAAATCTCCAAAGTTACCCATTAGATTATTAAAGTTTTTTATTGTTGATATATTTAGTTGAAAACTAAGCCATAGATATTTTGTTACCAATTTTTTCCTACTCAAGTTCATTCGTTTTGTTTTATTTTGGTAATCACAAGCCGGAAGCTTTGATGCTAACTTTGCTAGCTTAGTAGTATTTTATTGAGTGTATGAGAAAAAAGTAAACAGAAAGTAAGTTTTTGTTATATTCAGGGGTTAAAACTAAAATGTTACGTCAGATATCTGTTTGACATTTATATTTAGTTTGAAAATAAGACGAATGGGCGTATTTGATGTAATTATTTTTGCTGAACGAAAGYGTTTGATTCGACCCGGATTTGTTTTGTCGTTTTGTTTTGCCAACTGAGTGCCAATCCAAGGAGATAAATGTCAGCTAATCTAATCCGAGCCTGTTAATCCTTTTACATGTATCGGCATACGGTTGGAGGTTTTCCTAGAAGGAGGAGCGCTTCACTTTCTCGCCCAATGAAGTTAAACACCGATGTGTTTCCCGGTAAATAAGTAACAGCACCGTGAGTTCACCGGTCACAAAAGGAGTTTTGAACCTGGGAGTAAGCGTCATAAAGTGGACGGAAAGCGGAGCAATGAAGAAGCTGGACACAAAATAGACTTTTGGCCTGCATAATCCCAACACAGCTTTTTTTTTAAGTTTTAAAAGGGGATGAAACCTCGACCAAACTTCGCACAGCATCGAAGGGAGGCGGCACAATGACCGTCTGCCGTCGAAAGAATCGACCTAAACTCCTTCTCCTCCTCTTTGGTGTCACTTTAGTCGGATATTTAACGTTTTTCAGGCAGCGCTCCGGGGAAACAGGCGCCGCAAATCGACGTGAAGGAGAAGAAGAGCCAGCCGAGGAGAAGAAGCGAGCGGTGGATAATGAGCAGCTCAAGAAGCCCGTCTACGACAAGCCTCCCCTGGATTTGAATGCCCCGGGAGAGATGGGGAGAGCTCTGAAACTGAACTTGAACGAACAGGACAGGAAGAAAGAGGAGGAAAGCATTAACAGACACCAGATTAACACATATGTCAGTGACATGATATCACTGCACCGCAGACTGCCAGAGAGATGGAACCCACTGTAAGTAACTAGCTGTCAACCTTTAAAGTCACTCAGAAAGTTTAGGCTAAATTTATTCAGCTTGCTCCAGGAAAAAAAAAGTTATAGGATTACTGTAACTAACGTCATTTTCTGGTTGGGGTGGAGTAATAACTGCTTCTTACAAGAGATAAGTTCCCTGTTTACTTTTAGTTCTTTAATTACCTAAATAACCAAACCTAAAGATGACAAAACTCGCCCAGATGTGACAAAACTCCCAGCTTTCCTTTAAACTCTCGTTACACACCTCAGGTGCAGAGATCTGAGGTACGACTACAAGTCCTTGCCAACAACCACTGTGGTGATCGCCTTCTACAACGAGGCCTGGTCCACCCTGCTGAGGACGGTCCACAGTGTGCTGGAGACGTCCCCTGACATCCTGCTCTCAGAGGTGGTGCTGGTGGATGACTACAGCGACAAAGGTAGAGCAGCACAGGCGGCTCGGAGAGAGTCGCGCAAACTGATGGACAGGCAAGAGAGGCTGTGGGTGGGGAAAATCTGGGGCCGACTGACATCTTTAAAAGAAAAAATGCTCACATGGAAGCACACGAACAGGTTCCTGTCAGATGGGTTGAGGGCAGGTGGAAAGACRGAGATGTTGGGGGAAATAACCATGTCAAATAGAGAAAAGGGTAAGGACATGCAGATAAGCTAAAGGAAAACCTGTGAAATCTTGGCAGACAATTTACGTGTGTAAAAAAAAAAAAAGAAAAAAAAAAAGGGGCATCTTTCCTCTACGGAGTTTGAACCTGGAAGAGTGGATGGTGGTGTTTGGGGTCATCTGGTTCGTGGCTTCCAACATTTATGGTGATGTGTTAGCCAAGTTGTGAGAGGGAAAACCTCATTTCTAGGAAAAGGTCAGAACAGTTTGTGACCTACTGTAGTTATCAGGTTCATGGCCAAAAAGAAAGTTGACAAGTTCAAGGTTAGAGCAGATGTATTTATTAATGTTTGCTTTCTTGACCTATTTATTCTTCTGTGTCGTTAAACTTGCATTTCAGACCCACCCTGAAATTCCTGAACTAAAAAAGAACCTGTTTGAAGTCGTTGAACTGGAGTGACGTTCTAACGCGTGTAACGTGTTTCACAAATGGTTTAATTAGCTTTATGTGGGATTTATTTCCTTTAAAGCTCATCTGAAGGAGCCGTTGGAGAAGTACCTGTCAGGTTTGAGGAAGGTGCGTCTGGTGCGGGCCACGAAGAGGGAGGGACTGGTCCGGGCCCGGCTGCTTGGGGCGTCCATTGCCACGGGTGACGTGCTGACCTTCCTGGACTGTCACTGCGAGTGCCACGAGGGTTGGTTAGAGCCTCTTCTCTACAGGTGAGAGCGTCTTGTGGAAACGAGATGACCCTTTTTATTTTCTCATTAAAAAGTGAATCACCTCAGCTCAGCTACCTTTTTCAAGCTAATGCAATGGGAACTGTTCACACAAACATTATTTTTCTCCTCAAGGATTAAAGAAGAACCGAAAGCTGTGGTGTGCCCCGTTATCGACGTCATYGACTGGAACACATTCCAGTATTTAGGCAACTCTGGCGAACCTCAGATCGGAGGCTTTGACTGGCGGCTGGTCTTTACCTGGCACGCCGTCCCAGATTACGAGCAGAAACGCCGGCGCTCACCCACTGATGTCATCAGGTGCGTTCCCAGGACCTGGCAGAAACAGACTCTAATTTCTATTGAAGTCGATAGTTTTTAATTGCGTTTTGCAGGTCGCCGACCATGGCTGGGGGTCTGTTTTCTGTGAGCAAGAACTACTTCCATTACCTGGGGACATATGACACAGGGATGGAGGTGTGGGGAGGAGAAAACCTGGAGTTTTCATTCAGGGTAGGAAATAATTGCTGCACACGTTCTCCAAGTTGTATGCACTGAGGAAACTGTGTACACAGCTTTTACCAGTAAGCAGCAGTTCTCAGAACGTGTTTCTGGTTTAAATTTACTGACAATCACGGGACAAATTTTTCCACAAACCACAATGCATTAATTTAATTACACAGCTAGAGAAAACAGGCTTAACACTTTGATTGCAGTGAAGAATATGGACATGCTTTCCTACAGTAAAAGGAACCAAAATGTGTAAAAAAAACAGATTTTATGTCTAAACTCCTCCACAGGATTGTGCTTTTGTTAAATGAATCGTAGCTGAGAGRCTAACCAAATCCTTGTGGTGCTGTGGTTCATGTCTGCTAGATTTGGCAATGCGGAGGCAGCCTGGAGATCCACCCATGCTCCCACGTGGGCCACGTGTTCCCTAAAAAGGCCCCTTACTCGCGTAGCAAAGCGTTGGCAAACAGCGTGAGGGCAGCCGAGGTCTGGATGGATGAATACAAGGAGATCTACTACCATCGCAACCCCCACGCACGACTGGTGAGTCTTCACAGATGGCGCGCAGCGTGCTCGAGGAGTGTTTGAGCGGGGCGTCAAGGCAGGATTTTACACTGGAAGTTATTATTTATTTTGTTTGTGAAGTACTGCAAAGGCAACTCCGTTTTTATTCCAGCCGCACTCGTTGCGTAGCTCTGGTTGATTAATGACTCCACCAGTGGAAACACTCACAGATATGCCAACAATTACAAAAAAAAAAACAAAAAAAAACCCACACTGTCCCAATGCGGTGTCAAAAGCTCCCCTGATTAAGTGACTCTTGGGATACATGAGCAGCAGACACTCGAGGTGTCAGGGCATTCCGGTGTGTGATTACCACCTTTCCGTGTCACTTGGTGCCAGCGGGTGTCACCCACCTGTCCTTGACGGGGCGAGATCATTGCTAACCCACGGGGTGCCCCGTCTGTACGTGTGTGCGTCGGTGAGCATGTGACGCTGTGGTTCAGAGGAGAAGCTCTCCGAGCACAGATCAGGTGGCGCTCATCAACCCCCTGAAAGGAGGAAGTCTCTCGAAAAGGTGAACCACTTCAACTCCACAAGCTGCTGCTCCTTTTTTTACATCATACCTGATCTATTTAGATATTTCTACGTTCAAATTAGTTCCTCATCATGCCTTTATTCCCACATTCAGTTATTTATTTATTTTTACTGTATATAGTTATTTTTAATAAAATGAACAATTTTTTTGAATTGAATAAAAAAAAAATCTGTAATTTTCGATGAATCAGTTAGTCACCCTCTTACAGACTTGGCGGTTGCTCCGGTCCTTTAAGTTTGGCCTGCAGAGCAGCGCTCGCTGTCGTCGGCTCATTTCGGCCCTCGCTTTTGATAAAAGACAAACCGTCCTTTGGGAATCTGCCTCATGTCCAGATAAACTGATAAAGAGCCAATTAGAGCTGTGTTCGGGAGAACGGCCAGCATTCATCATCCGGCTGTGAATTTTATCCCCTCGTCCAGCAGTGAAGGTGTGCTGAGCATATTGCTCACTGGCAAATTAACGTGGGCACTTTATATTCTTTTATTGTAATCAGCTAACTCTGCAAATGTGTGTAACTCTGTGTGCTTGAAGGTATTTACATAAGCCCATTACTGCTTACACGCACACTCACAGACTTTAGTAAAACACACAAATAGATGTGTCTGGCTGTAATTTAACTAGAATCTGGGAGTGGTTCACTGTGTATCATTGTGAAACAACGCATTAAGCTTTTGTACTCCCTGTCATTATCAACACACCCTTCTACCGCAGCAGGTTTTTGCTTCAAATTGTCTGATATTTTTTTAAAGGTTCGGAATGATTTCAGCGCAGAGAAGTGAAACTCTTAACTATAAACACAAGCTGACGCATGCGGTGCTTGACTTTAGGAAGCCTTTGGAGACGTGACCGAGCGGAAGAAGCTTAAAGAGAGGCTGGGCTGCAAGAGCTTCCAGTGGTACCTGGATAATGTTTACCCCGACATCTCCGTCCCTCAGGATCGGCCCGGCATGTTTGGAATGGTGAAAACCGACAGCCACTTGTTGACAGCTCAGATGAGACTAATTTTGAAACTATTTTTTAAAAATCCCTACATTTTTTGACATATTATACGTTAAATTGTCACATAAAACATTAGCTGATTGTATTTTATGATTAACATGTTTTAATTTTTTTACCAGCTGAAAAACCGGGGCAAGACCAACTACTGTTTCGACTACAACCCTGTAGACGAGCACTCCATCGTGGGCCAAAGAGTCATCCTMTACCAGTGTCACGGCATGGGCCAGAACCAGGTAGGAAATGTCTACTTTTTTTTTTTTTTTACATGGATCAAGTCTCCAGTGAAACTTTAATATGACAGGTTGTGGCTGTCAGTCATCATAAACCATTCTGCCTGTTTTATCAAAAATCATGTAGAGGCCGGTGAGAAGCTTTCATTTACAATAAATGCAAAAACTAATAAGCACATAAAGAAAGTAGCTTGGTGCAAGATTAGATTATTAATCTATAAATGTGGGAATGCTTCAAGTACATCCATTTTTCATTCGAACATTTTTCGGCGCATAACTCGTTTTGTGCTTTTTGAACAATTTATATATCGAAACATTCGGCTCCTTCAAGACATTCCAGCTATGATTTCTGGTATTTCAGCAATTTCAACTTTTTTGAGATATTTATGTTTTTCAAACTTTTTTTTTCTCATTGAAAATGAATGAAGTTGTTTTCAACATCTAAAACCTTTCAAAAACGCTCATGAATCATTACTGTACGTTTTACCTTTTGTTCTGCTTCTGCTTTTTAAAGTTTTATTCTATTTTCAGCTGCCTTCTGCTTCTATTTTACTGATTTTAGTTTTTTCCYCCTCTTTTTTCCTGCTAGCATTCTGACATTTTCTGCTTTTCTTCTACTAATTTCAACTTTTTGTGCTTTGTTCTGCYTTTGTAGGCTTTTTATGCTTCTTTCAGCTGCTGCTAATTCTAACAATATTTGTTGTGGTTTTAACTACTTTTTAGTTAATTTAAGCTTTTTTTCAGCAAAATTCACTTTTTTGTAATAATTTCAGCTTCTTACTGCTTATTTCAGCAAACATGCTTTTTCGGTTTCATTATGCTAATTTCATTTGTTCCAGCTGCCTTTTTATTTAGCTACTTTTAGGCTAGTTTAATCTTTTTTTAGCTATTTATCGCAAATCTTTCAGCATTAATCATTCACACTGTATTTTTGCAGGAAATACAAACTGTCTAGTCTTCTTTAGGTTTGTTGCAAAACACAAGTCTGCACCTACCTTTCAACTTTAAAAGTCATAAAAATCTGTTAACAGTTTTAATGGTATGTGAACCATTTCATGTTGTTAACCTTAATCAAACACGTCTCATCATTATCAGAGACAGCGACTTCACTCTTGTCTCATCCCAGACTGCAGGGATTTGTGGTTTTCTCTTACAAACTTGTGAATAAGGAAGTTTGACCATCTCAGACTGCAAAATATGTTGTTGATCCAGAGGGAGAGCGTGTTTCCCAACTCTGTTTTCTCTATGATTGTCTGTATACCAGAAAGCGCTGTGAAATTTAGCAACGTTACTCCAGAAACCCTCTGTGGACTCGCACAGATTACTTGTTTGTAGGATATAACCTCTGCAGTGGCCGTGCTGTCCACCTAACGGGAGTATTCTGCATGTTGCAGAATCTCTTTCTGCATTCACAGTGTGCAAACCAACCAGCAGAGCTTATTTTTGTGTGTACACAAAGTGTTTTCACACTGTGTTCCCTGCCTCTTTGTACATTCATGCACACACCTGTGCTGAGGGATTTCCTGACTGAAACCATTCTGGTAAAAAAAAAAAAAAAATACATCTGCTTGTTTTAAGAAGACAAAAGTAGCAAAAAGTAAATTCCTAGTTAAAGAAGATAACTTTTTGTTTAAAATTGCACAGAGTACTAGATTTAGAAGCAAACCCAGTCATTGTTATTCTCTCCCTCCAGTTTTTTGAATTTTCAGTGGATGGTGAGATCTCCTACAACAGCAGAGAACCATCTGGATGTGTTGTGGGTGACAACGTGAGTTCCTATCTGACCATCCAGCTGTGCAAGAAACGAGGACAGGCCGTTCCTTTAGACCAGAAGTTTGTCTTCCGAAAGGTAAAACAAAGCTAAGTTTGTTTCGGAGCTTTAATTAAAGCATTTAACCAAAAGTGTAAATAAGATGGTGTTGCTCAGTGTCTGGGTGTTAATATTATAATTAGAAATACTATATTTGAATGAAAAATATATATTTTTATTTTATTTTTAATTAAATCTAGTTTGAAATTCACAACCTTGTACAACATCATTTGACTTATCGTGATCATGTACAAGTCTTAACCACTAAGTTAAAACAGAAATTATACGTTTATTCAAAAATTAGATCCAATCTGACATCTTCTGTTTCAAATATCTATCTTCATGCCATTATACTCTCAACCATGTCGTACTGTTTACCTGTTTGGTCTCCAACAACAAATGAAATCTTAGAACCCATAGGTAGGCTCTACAACAGGGCCTACACAATTCATAAAAAACTTCCTGGTTGGACTCATCACTGTACAGTTCTTTCATTGTCTGATGCCTTGACTTTTCAGAATTATGTTTTGTATAGTGGTATTAATTTATATTTTCAGATCTTCCAAGGTGCCAATTATGGAACTCTCTGCATTGTTGCCCAAATCAAATTTTAGAAGTGGTCATTCAACTAGATCTGTTACAAAAGGACAACTGATAATACCAACTTTTAGAAACTGTTACGGCCAGAGGTCTTTCTCCTATGTTTATACTAAAGCATGGAATGACATTCCTCAAAACATAAAGTCCATTTCAAAACTACAGCCCTTTAAGAAGAATCTTGTCTGCCATCTGCTGGACACTTTTTGTTGTGCTCATATTTAGATGTCCTATTTTGCAAATGCTGTCTTCCTGAAATTTGGTATGCTTGTTTGTCTTTGTGTCTATGGCAGAGGAGCCCAAAGTGGGGCCCGCGGGCCAAATTTGGCCCRCCAAGCCATTTGATTTGGCCCACCAACAGGTTGTAACCTGTTATCCTATGTAGAAACACAGTATTTCCACTGGTCAAATGACTATATAAAAGGGCTGTAGTGAAGGTAGTTTTCATTCATGGTGCTGACTTTATCTTTGTTTTATTAGGATTAAACAAGAAACATGAAATGACAAGAAATATTTAGATCAGATTTAACCRCATGTAGATTTGCACACTTTATAAGGCCACAAAAACTCATATTTTATCTATTTATGAAATGTCCCATGAGCCTTTGCTACTTGAGCATATGGCAGACTTTCTCCAAGTGCACAGACTAAAACAAAAGAGGGCCATTGCATACTTTAATCATTAAAAATAAAGGACTTTACTTAAAAAGTATTTGCATTTCATGTATTATATTACTACATTTGGCCCGCAGCCCTGGATAGATTTTCATTTTGGCCCCCTCGGGGAAAATGTTTAGGCACCCCCGGTCTATGGTGTATAATGATGTGATTGTGATGCTGTAATTCTGAGTGTTTTATGTGCTGCAGAACAGGAACCTGCTGTAAAACAGCAATTATGCTGAGTCAGGCTTGATTTTTAGTAATCTTTTCCTGTTAAATCAATAAATCAAATCAAATCAAATCCATGGACTTGTTTGTAATTCATGCCCAGAGCAACTCTGACAGCAGCAGCAGCAAAGCTGCTGATTTGTTTACTACGCAGTGCTGCGAGCTGTTCAGCATGTGCTGAATGTAGTCGCAGAACACCAATGTTTGGAGCACAACAATGCCATCTAAATGTAAATGCATCTAAAAAGATGGACTGAATGTAACAAGGGTGTGTAAGGCACAGGGATGGGATTGTATAGGGACAAAAAATAAAATATAAGTTAGAAGTTGCTGACTCAGCACATCGCTCAGGTAAGACCAGCAGTGTTCCTCGGTCTTTTCTAGATGCTGGTTTTAATCACACACAGCTGTGCATGAGTGAACTAATATTTCTTTAGTTCTGAAATATATTTTTTTATTTGTTGGATGCTTCTTTACAGGATGGGAGTCTGTTCCATGTTCAGAGTCAGAAGTGCATCGAAGCTGTGGACAAAACGGACAATGGGACACCAGCCCCCTCGCTGCAGCCCTGCTCTGCCAGCGACCGCCAAAAGTGGTTTTTTGAGGAGAGGATGTAAAAACATGAACAAAAAATACATGTGAAAGTTATTTTTCTTCCACCCCCCTAAATCCAGTATCCAGAAGAGGATTATGACTGGATATAATTGCTGTTTGATTCTGATTAATGTATCCTTTCCCCTTAAACGAGCCCTAACAATGATGCCTTTCTGCTCACCTTCCTGCGTTAAACCTCTTCTGATTAGAGTGTTCTCCACTTGGACCAACAGGGAACTGTTCTGACAAGTTTCAGTTTTCTAAAACACTTTTTAAATAAACCAGAACACAAAATATTCATTCAGTTTCAGCCAGAAGACTTGCTGGACAGTGTTGGATAATTRAAATGCCAGCAGATTCAGAGCCTCCTGGTGACGTTTTAAGCTCATCTGGTTTTATTTACACTTTTTGTCCTGTAGAGGGGGCTAAAGTTCCTCTCACTGCACCGCTTCCCTTTCTCATCTTTTATGTTTTTCACGAGGCAATTTTTTCAGCTGTTTTTCAAGAACCTTTTACAGAAAGCAATGACTACTTGATAAATTATTTACACCAGTGGCCCAAAAAAAGTCCTAGATTACAGGCCAGTGCCTTACAATGTTTTTTAAATCAAGTCTCCACTGAAAAAAAGGGAAAACTGCAGCCTTGAACTAAAGTTTTTTTACTGGATTCAGTGTTGTGTTAGTTTTTGTGCTGTTTAAAAAATAAGTAGCTTTAACCATAAATTATAGCCATATTTATTATTTGTTTTTTTATTTCAGGGGACTTTAGAGTTTATTCACTTAAATCTGGTTAAGAGCAAATGGTAACATCATGGCAGCTGAGAGCAAAGAGTGCCTGTTTATATAAAATAAAATACTACAATTTAGTGTTTTTGCAGTTCGGATCAGGCGAGTTCTTTATGTTGCCACTCTGTGAGATGGAGGATGAGCAGTTGTGACAAAGTATCTGCACAAGCATTGAGTGCTTCCCTTGAGAGTATTTATGTTACTCTAGTGGGCTGTACTGATATGTGCGTGCAGACACAGCATTCATCTTTCAGAATCGGACATCTCTGGATGCGTCTGAACGGGGGGGGGGGGGGGGTTGATCGGACATCTCTGGATGCGTCTGAACGGGGGGGGGGGGGTTGTTACTCGTGTGGCTCCCCCTCAGGTTATGCAGCARACAGTTGTTGGTATCTCCTGAGTGCTGGGACACCAGATGGTTTTCTGATTGATTTTCTCGTCCTCTCCTAATCCTCCATCACTTTTTTCTCTCTTTTTTTTCCCTGTCTACACGTGAAGGACTTTATCTTCTGGACTCCCTTTCCTACACTCCTGCGTTTGACTTTTGAACCGAAGTCATCAGCGGCACATTTTTGACAATAGAAGCCGATAATGGAGCTGACTGAATGAAGCCGTTTGCGACCMCCCTCACCTCCCTTTTTCTTAACGTTAACCTTCGCAGGCTCTCGGCCCCATCCCTCTCTAAAAAGAGCTAACGTTAAAAGGACCATCATGAAGAAACAGATTTCCCATATTGATTCAGAGTGGACGATAAATGGAGCAATTTTTAAAGTAGCACAGCAGGGATTTGAACGAGGATTCCTTTATTTGCCTGATGTAATGAATGTAGACCGGCATGCGATGCTGTAGCAGGAAGTTGATAACGTCTATGTGTGAGCCTGCGTTATATGAGGCTAACGATGCAGCATTAGATTGATTATGTGCCGTTACGCACACACACTCGGAGATTTATTGCCCTGCGTGGGGCTTTGGAAGACAGTACTACGAGACGGCGATATTGAGTCTGAGAGAAGCACAAAATGAGTTCCAAGCTTGCTGAAATATGGACGTAATTACTGGGCTTTTGGTTCCCCATGGCCCATAAGTAAGCTTTTTGTTAGGGTTATGGGTTGTACSTTGCTAAGTGAAGTGGACCAAATGACCGGTGGGCACAATAAGGTTTATAGGAGGAAGGGGGAATCCTCTGATCAGTTCTGTGGCYAAAACGGACCCTCTGCACCAATCAGCCGTAACATTGGGACCAATCACAGGTAACACCAGTATCTGCCTCCTATTACTAACATGGGTGTTAAATGAACACTCAACACCGTCACAGAGGTGTGCAGTCCTGTTGATAATGTTGCAGGAATCTCAAAATCCATCTCCATAATGCAGTATCTGGATTTTGATGCACGGCAGCTGTCTCCTCAGATTGAAAACATGTTCAGGTCTAAAAATGATATAAATGATAAATAAAAATCAGTAGAAATCTGGTCCAAATCAGCCTTTTTTGGTGTGTATTTTTGTCAGTTTAATTTCCAAAACGGCCTCCGCAATGCTAAAAAGTCATAATGTCATGGCTGGCTGGTGTAAAATAGGATCGATCGGTCTTGACTGTAAAGCACTTGGATATAATTATTTTAGAGTTTCTGCTAATTTCTTGTATCTCAGTTTTCTAAGAAAAAGAACAGAAATGGTTACTTTTAATGCAATGCTCCAGGTTTATCATCTCCATACATCAAGCACTGTATAATTATTTACTAAGGTTATTAAAAAGAGGGTTATTATGACCCCCACACGCGACGCATAAGCGGGAGTCATATTGTTTTCGTACGTTTTTTTATTTATTTTAAAAATATTTTCTTCGGTGGTCAACCGTAGCACAAAAACAGCTGCACCGATCAACATGAAATTTGGCAGGGCTATAGATGAGTCCGACCTACACTGCGCCAGCCAGCGGTTTTACGATAGACCCCATATTTGAGGAGGGGGCTCCTGTCAAAGTGGGGGTGTCTGGACATGCAAAAATGCTTATAAATCAGAAACTGTTCAACATAGAAGCTTCAGATTTCTTTTGTTGTTTAGCTCTGATGAGGGGCTATCCATCAGGTCAACCAATGCACCCCCCCACCCCAAAAAAAAAAGTGCATTTGTGCATGCAGAGGTCATTATGTTACCGCTATGCGGTATCTAGTTTATTGTACACGTGTTGCCATTTGTGTTTTAACCTTGTTTTCCACATGTTTATTGTAGTAATGTTTTATATGATAACTTAACATGGTACATGGATCGGTTTGAGTTGCCACTATAGCCCTGCGTCCGGTCAGGTGGAGGTTTTATTKCAACCAAACCTTGATCATAAACATTTTCCTGGGTTTGTTGGAGCACTGCAACTTGTAAAGCTGTTGACTGTATTGGACCATTCGATGCAGTTCTACAGCAGCGTTTTAAAGAGGATTTTTTTTATGAGAAGTGGGTAAACGCAGAGAAAATCCTTGAATGAATGTTAGAGGCCTTATTGCAATGAATGTTAAATTATGTGGGCATTATTTGTGCAAATATATATATATATATACTGGACAAAATAAATGGACAACACTTAATGTCTGCTTCTTTTGTAGTAAATTAAGTCAAATTAGATTAAAAAAATTTATACTTCATGATTTATGCTTTCATCTCCGTCTGTTATTGTTGATTAAACTGTGACTCATCCGCATCTCTGATTATTAAAACAGGCTATCATCCATGTTTAACTGCTGGAGAAGATGTTCGGAGGATAATGAGAGGAGAAAAGGCTGAATATTAGATTGTGTGGGGTGTGTGTGTGTGTGTGTGTGTGTGTGTGTGTGTGGGGGGGGGGGGGGTTTCAAGCATATCTGATTGGATGGGTCACCAGCTGCTGAGTGAGATGGTGAAAAGTTGTGCCAGTGCCAAGTCTTCTGTTTCCTCTGGTGCCGACACTCGGGTTCTGCAGTCTCTCTGACTGGTGACGCTCATCTAACCTGAACTGTGTCTTTGGATCAAAAACACAAGAAAAAAAAAAAGATGGAAAAATTTTATAGGTGCAAAATTTGGTCCCTGCTTGTATTATTAAAAATGAAATCCTATTTTATTAATTTGTTTTTAGCACAGAGTTAGAAATAAGGAACATTTGTGCCCCACTGAAGGCACCACATGCGTCAAGCTGCTTTCTTTCTCACAGAATGAAATGTTCTGATGCAAAGAAGCCAAAAAAAAAAAAAAAAAATCCTCACGTGTGACAAATGCTTCCTAGACGCCACACGGCTGCTTCTTAGTAAAATGGAAAATCACTGCAGAGGACTGTGATACTTTTCCTCCCCATCTTTTTGGATCGGTGGGGAGAAGGAATAAAAAAAAAGCTGCATTAAAATTCACTCTTTATTCCACAAATGCATTCACAGAAATACTGTAGTTTGTTGCAATCTGGTCCCAAGATGTAGGCGTAGTTTAAATTTTTTAAATATTTTAATCCGGTGCGTTGATGTCTCTCACACCCCATATGTGTCTTTGATGCTGATGCAAAACAAGGCTCCCCTGCGGTGCGAGTCATTGGAGATGCTGAGGCTTCAGTTGTCAGAGAACAGGAGAACCATAGGAGGAGCTGTACGTTCACACAAACACTGATTGGAAGCCGCTTGCACCCTGCATGTCGTTTTTGGTTTATGT